GACTTGTGGCTTACAAAGCTTTTGGCTTTATCATTTGGCTTGGGCTGATTTTTAGAACAGCTCAGCTCATGAAGGTATGCGAAATGATGGAAGCGTTCCCAAGTTCAAGGCTCTGTTTGACAGATGCAGCTCATTCAGCAACCAAGTCCTTGTGGACAGGATTGCCTAAGGTCACCAGTGATGGACATGACTCGCAAACAAGGCTTCCTTGTGCCATACCTCACAAATACATCCAGTAGATCAAATTTGTGCTTGCCCCAGGACCTGGCTATGACCTCACACTAATAAAAAGCAGGAACAATTCAACTAAAATAGAGCACTACACTGATGAAAAACCAATATATGAGAGATCAGAATTGGTCTCTCTTTAGAGAGAGGGACAAATTGGTGCTCCCTTGCTCCCTTCCACCCCTCCATTTCAACTATTTGTTCTTCCAAAGGACTCTCTACAAGCACCAACATCTGTCATTCAATTTAGTGTAGAATTATTACATCCTTTTAGACATAAAAAGGCTACACTACAGCTCTACTGAAGTGATCAAGTGCACTGTGGAGGTGGCTTTTAGTATCTTAAATTTCCAGGTAAATCTAGGGGCTTTCAAAGCAGCCGATGACTTTCTGCTTCTTAAGATTCAGGGAGCACTGAGGGTAATGGGGATGACATAATCTGCTTAGTTTGAAACAGAAGATGGTAGGGAGAGAGGGAGGGTGGATTCAGGTGTGTGGGGCTTTTACATGCTCAAAGGCTATCAAAAGATACAGCTTGACATGATGTTGTAGGCTATTTTGAGTACAATTTGTAGCAAACAAGGGAGGCTTTTTTAGATAGATGCAATCTTCTAACTCAGTGAACAAAAACTCAAGTCCAGGGACCATCTGAGGTCTGTGAAGATTTTGCCATTGACTTCAGTGGCACAGGATGTGGTCTCATGGTATGAAAATGTATGCTTATGTTTGATTTACCTTGATTGATTTACCACAATGCATTTTTATGTCTGAAGGGACCAAACAGACAGAAAAGATAAGTTTCTGTATTTAAATAAGTTGCAGTCTAAAATAGGACCACTCCATGTTTATGGAAACATAAGGAAATCATGGGGAAAGGTACATTTTCCCATTACGGTGTGTATTAGGAGGACTTGGCAAACCTGGAAAAAGCTGGGGACAGCACAAGAACATTTGACATGTTTTTCAAGTTAAAAATTAGTGCATGGTGGTGAATTCTAGCAGCACCCACAGAAACTGCAGCAGCTTAATATGCAAATGTTAATGATCAGCTTTTGATTCACTGGGCACCCAAGTCTTCACAAATGAACCAGGGCACAGGATAAGCAGAAAGGGAAGATGAAAACAGTTTATTTTGCCAGGATCTATACTGTACAAACCATTAGTGTCCTACAGCACTGTCAATGGCCAGGATGAATTTGCATCTGTGTAAAGTATCTAACCTAGATATCCTATATACTTCTTTTGAAGAAACCAGAATTTGTTGCCATCACTATCTTCCCCCTCACACATACATAAGACATCTACTACAAATATAAGGAACAGAAAAAAACCCTTGAAAGAACAACAGGCTCACACCAAGATTATGAAATAACCCTGACAGTTTGAGGTTGTTGTATGAAACATAGGGGATATTAGGCAAGTATAACTATACCACTGTACTGTGCTGCTTTATTTAAATTCATAAAAAAAGGAATTAAACTTTTGGGGAAGGGGTCATCCTTCACACGGTATCCCACATTAGAATACAAGGATGTCATTCATTTGTGGGTGAGATTTGTAAGCATTGAGCAATCCCTTTTTATTTATTTTTCTGTCTTACATACCTTCTACTCCTCCTGCTAAACTCTGACTTCTCCATTTAGTTTCAGATGGGATTGACAGAGTGGCATTTGATATTGCGTACTTTTTGGTGATTTCAGCATGAACAGGGCAGAGGATAATATAAATGACTATGTGCAAGAATGAAAGCCAACAAGATGCAAGTGTCCTACTTGTTCCAGGACTCCATATAATCTTCCCTTTCCCCAGTGTTGTCCACTCTTCCTGATCCATTCCCCCTCAAGAGAGAAAACCATGACCCTCCCCTTCTGTTCTAAAATCATTATATACTGGATGTAATGGCTATAAATGTCAGATTTATAGGGGCCATGGTAGCCCAAAACATCTCTAAATATCTGTGTGTAATTTTTCTTGTCATTGCCGTTAAGTGTGTGTGTGTGTGTGTGTGTGTGTGTGTGTGTGAGCAACAAAGTAGCAGCATTTGTTATACTCATTTCTGTTGCATCTCTGAAGATATAAATATCACTTCCATCTGTCATACTTTTAAAGCTATATACTAGATGCTAGTATGTAAATAGCATCTCCCTGTATCAGAATGGGCATACACAGTGTGTACATAAAATATACACACAATAAATAGCCCAAGCTACTGAGATATAAATTATACATCAAGGGCTAATGCTGATGTAGTATGGGAACAACAATTTGATTTAGTGGTCAAAGGCCACCTAAATTACAGAATTCCTATAAATGTGAAAAACTTTTATTGGCTGTATGACTCATGCACACAGAGCAAGGGAAAAATATTATGAATATAAATAGTTAAGACTTGAAAGCATTGATTAGCGAGATACCCAGCAAAGCGCTAATAAAAACCGCTTGCACAAAGGCATGATGCAGAGAGATGTTGTGTTCTGCATAGATCTGTACAATTCTTCCAAATTCTTCAATCATGAACTGAAATACCTCCAGTTACTCCAACCAGGATCATTTCTCAGCAGACTGCCAATTATGTCAAACTCTGGACAAAAATGAGATAATTAAATTCACCCTAACTTGCTATCCAGGACCCTATTCTGCACTCTTCCTTACATAATTTTAAATAGCTCCATATGCTTTGACAGGGTTATTCACCTGTGAAGGTACAACTGAATGTGACTGAATGTGGCAGAGTTGTGACCCAAGTACGTTCAAATTCCACAGCCATCTTCTGATTTCCATTACATCCACATGTGGGCTTGTGCTGGTGGCACCTGAAAGCTGAACTTGTCCAAAGGTCTGCAGAACAGGATCCCATGGAATTGTGTCCACTCATTGTGGTGGTGGCATAAGGCCCTTTCTGATTTGGTGGAATCTCGTAAATAAGATGAGGGTGGTAACAGACCCAGGAATGGAAAGATTATTAAATAAAGATTTGCAATTTGACTTGCAACTCATGTCCATATATAGTATTTTAGGTATACCTATATTCCTATACCAATAGAAATTTGAAAAAAATAAATTACTCGTACATGACACAGCCTCTGTGGTCATATTTTTATGTGATGGCAAGCAATTGTATGAGAAGCCTCTCACTTCTAATATGCCTGCTCTTTTGTTTTAATATTTTTTAAGTTCTTCTATATCTCTTTTTTACTTCTGTCATACCATAGACCACTCAGTTTCTTAACCATTCCTAGAAACCAGTCCAGATATCCTTTGACTTCTTTGTTTCAGTTACCTCCCTTAGCAATTTATCCCACATATTAGTTCCTTTTTGCATGTGGTAGTTTTTCCTGTTACTTTAACTAATCCTACTGTCCTAACTTTTGCCATTCATATGCAGCTCCTTTAGAACTGGTCAAATATCATCACATGTCTTCTTATTAAATGTTTTTAGCTTAAAACAGAATAATTTGAAGAATTCATTTTCCTAGCATTTGACTGACTCCATTCCCTGATGAGAAAGTCTTTATGAGTTCATCCTCAAAGAGAAAAAAACGCAGCTCCCATGACCTTAACTGACACATTTTCGTCACACATGGTGACATTGTTACAGCTGTGCTGCACTTAAAAGTACTGTTATGTATATACTGTATTATTTATAGCACATAACATATATACATATATATAGTACCAAGGCAATCAACTCAAACCAATAACTTTCAAGGCCCTACTCTCACCTAGGCTCAGTTTTTAATTTTGACACCTACTTGTCTCCGCCCATGTCTCCTTCCTACCTGCTACTTCTGTCTTTTTATCCACTTTCTTTCATGCTACCCCTAATGCTGGGACTTCCTTCTACTTCTCACATCCCAATCTACCTGCCTTTATTCCACTGAAGACCTCTCTTCCTTTTTGTGCCTTTATCCTAGATCAGTGGTTTTCAAGCTTCCTGAAGTCATGAAATCCTCTCATAGCACTTTCTTTTAGTGCCGAACCTCTACCTCTATCCTAAAAACTGACATGGAGCCAAGCAGCCTGTTCTGGCAATAGTAGCACACCTCCTGGCCTGCTCTGCTGTTATCTCATCTCTTTGCTTACATGGAATGCAGTCTGAAAACTGCTCTTAGATATCAGAGCTGGACTCTGAGTATTTCAGGACCATTAACATATGCTTGTGAATCTCCATGTAAAGTTAAGAAAACATTAACTGGTGGTTCCATGACATTAGTTTTCTAACTCTGGTCACATTAAGGTGACAATGCCTTTGAGAGCACTGAACTATAAAATATATGCGAACAAAAGGCTTAACAAAATAATTTAAAAACAGAAACTGCAGGAATAATTCAAGGAAGAAGGACAATTCTTTTTTTAAATCAGCTTGGCTGAAGAGGAGTGAGCTCTATTGAAACTTGCAACACATATCTCCGAGGCATTGGAGTGGATTTGAAATGGCTGGAAATTATTTCTTTTGACTTGGTGCAGTATGTGCATTTACTCTAACACAGACTTCACTGACGAAAAATTTTCACCTGAGTAGCTGTAAGAAAATCCTGAGATGGTATCCAACACTTTCTTTCTTTTCAACTACAGAATGAAATTTTATGGCATACCTGTTGCACTCAGTATAATATTTTCCTGCAGGATTCTCTGCATGGATGAATGGCAAAAAAGAACAGCACTGTTTTCATAAAAAGACACACTCATAAGCAATTGCACCACATCATCATGTGTTTCTGTTGCAAACAACAGAAAGAACAAGACAAAAACAGGATGCAAGGAAATGATGCCAAAGGTATCACAGGTACTTTATGTCATGCCGGATACAGAAGAGACAAAATGGGTGAGAGTTTGACAACATCTCCTCCATACTAGGGCCATCAGCACCATCATGAAGCATACCTGGCCTACTCTATCCTACTCCACCCATGCCGAATGCCAGAAATGAGGTGATATAGCTCCATTACATGGGCACATGGCATGCATGTACCCAGTGCTGCTCTCAGTTTCTCTTTTTGAGTGTGATTATTGTTACATGGTCAGGGACATGCTAAAGACAAAGCAGTTATGTTGCCTTATTTCTGGGATTTGGCACAGGCAGGGCAGGACTTAGCGGTTGTGACATGTTTTCTGGCAGCATGGAGGCAGTGTAGATGAGACCTAATTTGCTGCCTAAGAGTGGCTATTACTTATTGGTGTCTTTGGGACTAAGATTTTTTTTTTTTCTAAAGAGAAGCAGTTAATTTCTAATGTTAAAAATCTATATCATGTAAATCCATCTGTCATCTCTGGGAATGGAAAGCCTGGGTATTCACCAGAAGGTGGAAAAAGTAGGGTTGGGAATGAGGAATTGAAGAGCTCTACAAAACTCATTTCTTCAGTCTTGCTTTGATAGAAAGTCTATACTAAAAACAAACAATAAAAACAAATTAAAAAACCCCTATGTTACCAAGAATCTAGGCAATGCACACAGCAGCTTCTCATCGCCACACAGTTAGGACAACAGAAGGCTGGAAGAGTAAAAATACAACAACTGTAAAAATCTGGTTAATTTAAATCATTTCACGCTCCCAAGTTTGAACCCAGTCTTTCCTGCTTAACTACTTAATAGGCTATTCTGTAGATGCAAGAAAAAAGACTGGGCTATAGGACCAAGATAAAATATGTCCAGCATTTGTTTCCAAAACCTGAAATTTCACAGACATTTTTGTGAACAAAGCCAACGCCTTCTTGTTTATGAAGTAATGATTTTTTAGCAAATATCAAAAACACTTTCCTGTTTAGGTGCAGAAGATTTCATACAGGCTGAACAGGTTACTACCAAGGAATTTTGGAGGCAAGAATGCCAGCTAAATCATGCAGCTAGTTTTGACTGTATAACACTTTGGGAGCAGAGTGACAAGACTTGGTCAAACCCCAGTTTAAGATAATTCTTAGATTATAAGCTTTTGTGGGGCAAGGTCTGTCTTTGTTCTGCATTTCTTCAGTGCCTAGAGCAGTGGGGTCTTGGGCAAGATGAGAGCTCATTGGTGCTTTAACAATACACACAATAAGTAAAAACAGTACATACTCTATATCTTCAAAAAGTATCCATTTTATGCCCTTATTTTAGGAAGCCCACTGCACCCCAGTAAATGCTTGAAAAATGTAGTAAAAAAAAATCACCCAAATTGCAAAACTAATGCAGTCAGTTTGACACAAGTGCATAATGGCAGAATTTGCATGATTAAAACTGAAGGGAAACCCATTTTGTTTGAAATTGCTTCACCAGCACTGAAACTAATGTGGATCAGAGAGATGTAACCAGTTCATGTACAGCACCTTAACAGAATGCGGAAGGAAAATATTGTGGAATAGATGGTGCAGTGACTCCATGAACAGCTTCTCATTTCCATCCCCTATTTTTAGGTGTAGGATGAACAGGGCAGAGGAAGAGAATTGCTGCTTTTTTGTGCTGGCCTACTCATTTGAAAACATATAGATCAGGTGGATTAATTTAATTGTAACCCAAAGTCTCAGATTTCCCCTATGGCTCTTTCAGTTTCCCAAATGGCTGATGCATGAAATTAAAAGAGTAAAGGATGGAATTTGAGAACAGAAAACAGCGCTGTTTAAAAGACAGACTGTCCCAGTGTTTTTTTTGTTTTTTTCCCTTTGTAACAAGGAGAGCAAAAATACACATCCAAAGTGGGAGAAAAGAGGTCAGAGGGGATTAGAAAGCACAGTCTTCCAAGTTTGCTTCTGTTCTGCCAATTGGTACATTAGGTTATTTAAGAAGTGGTAAATGCTGCAATAGAAAACAGGCAGCAGCAAACATGGGGATCATCATCTCCTCCCAGTGGCATTGAGGTCTGTACAGTTTCAGTCTCTTCCTTCAGGATGGAGAGCGTAGCCTCCTCACACTGTTACTACTTTTTAGTGTGAAAAACGTGTTCTTTAGACACTGAGCGCTGGAATTCAGAAAGCTCCTATTTTGCTAGGCTAAAAGGAACTCAAATATTCCAGTGCAACCTCATATACAAATTTATACTGTTCCTGAAAGAGACAGAGAAAACAGTGATACAATGATGCAGGAGAAGTCTTATTATTTTGCCTGGTACTGAGTTCCTCCCAACTCTCCCCATATCTACCCCAGCTGAAGCAGGATCAAGCTCCAACTTTTAATAATTTATAGGCTTAAATCACACTTCACCAGGATCTAGCATGGACAGTGCCCAGAAATGTTCAAAGCCGCAGGAAAGAAGAGATAACCACAGAAACACTCATGATACTGAATATTCATGCTTGCTCCTACTGCACCTAATGCACACACCTGAGGCAAAGCTTTCACTCTGATTAATATAATGATTTAATTAATATGAACCCTGAAGTACCTTACTGGATTTTTTACACATCTTTATTCCCTTAGCATGCTGATCAGAGGGGAAGGGACTTACCAGTGATTCCACCATGTTGGATTTGTTATTTCGTAATGTCTTTACTATATGGAATACATCAATGATATTTTGTTGCTGAATCATTTCACAGACACTACAGATGGCACAGAAAGTGCCACTGCGCCCACCACCATTCCTAGGCAGAGAAGAAAAGAGGTACTTTACAAAGCCATGCAGGGATCGGGTCATGGAGACACAAAAATGCTGTCCCAGAGGAAACCATGTATACCAAATGCTGATACCACATTTAGATCCCTTCTCTTGGTATGAAACCTCACAGAATTTATTTTAAGAAATGGTTTGAAAAATGAGAAAGCATCTCACAGGTTAAAATATAGGAATACAACTAGGAAGGCTGCCATTCATTTGACCTCTGTGGCCCAGTTCTCTCACTTCTCAAGTAGGAAAATCTTATATTAACTTTTAATCTTGTGAGACTAAATTCATTTTTTTGTAAAGAGTCTAAGGGCCTTGCTACACAGTGCACTTTGAGCTGCTCAAATGTTGATCAGTGTTAGTGCTAGCTCAAATTTAGAGCACTCATACCTTAAGGCTAAAGCCCTTCTCTGACTGTCCCCCATCTGCACAGCTGTGATGCCACTGGAGGGCTGGTGAGAAGGGACCTGACTAGGAGCTGCAGCTGTGAGTTGTTACTACAAGGCTGGTGAGCAGGGACAGGCTTCTATCCCTACTCTAGGTCAGTGGTTCTTGACCTTTTTGGACTCAAGGCCCCCTTTACACCCAACCTGCAGCTCCCAGGCACTGCCGGTGCCCTTCATTCCCAATCCACAGCCCTCTACCCCCCCCAGCCCTGCTGGTGTAATTCACATCTGACCCGCAGCCCTCTGGCCCTGATGGTGCCCCTCACTCCTGAACCACAGCCCCCTGGCCCTGGTAGCATGTCCCCTGGGTCCATTACTGTACCTGATGCTGGAGGTGTGCTTGGTGCAGGGGTTCCGGCAGTGGCAGCAATGAGTATCACCACCCTACTCTGTCCTACCATGCTGGGTCCTGCTAAACAGTCTACAGCCCCATACCCAGTGGGGGGTGGGGTATGTTCCCCCCCCACCTCCCTGACATGTCACCTATGCCCTCCACCCCCAACCTGACTTATCAGCAAGGAGTAGTGGGAGCTGTTCACCACCACTGGCTGGCTGTCATGTGCATGCACATGCATGCACAAATGCACATGGAGCCCCCTGCCATAACAGCCTCCTCCCAGCCCCGAACAGCCCCTTGCAGACTAGAACAGTGCCAGCTTGCAAGAGGAAACCCACTGCTCTATCTGATAGAATGTGGAGAGATAATGGGATGGAGATAGATAATGAAGTGGGAGGTGGAAAGGAAATGGGAGTCAAATGAAGAAAGTAGGCCACTGAAGGATAAAATTAAAAGAAGTAAAAAAAATAAAAAGAAATAAAGAGGAAGCAAATTAAAGAAGGTCTTATATTTTAATAAATTGAGATTTGGGATTGAGGTGTGAGGGATACTGGTTGTGCTTCCCAGGTTGGCTAGGAGGTAAGATCCGTGAGGGAAGGTGCTTTTGGAGGAGCTACTGTAGGAAGGAAGCCCCAGCTCATGGGGATCCGATCCAGTCCTCTCCCTTGTTCCCCTGTCCCCTACCACAGACCCCACTCCTGAACCCATCCATGCCCTGTGACCTGGCTAGCAGGTACGTGCTCTAAAGGCTGTTTCCACAGGGTTACACCTCTAGGGGTGGGAAGGTCACACCCCTGGGGGCTGGAAGGGGACTTGGCTTGGTGCCAGAACCACCCTCTGGGCAGTAGAGTTCAGGAAGGTAGAACATTTGTCCACATAGTACAGGAGAGTTGGGGAGGGGACACTGCATTCTGCAATTCTGGAGGCCTTCACCTTGGGCAGCTCATCTATGGGGACTTGCCATGCATTAATGGACCATGAGATAACAGAGATCAGAGATAAACCTGTTCTGGAGTGGCATAAACTTTATCCTGCCTAAAGTTTTCTTAAAACTAGTTTTAAGTGTTAAAGTATGAACAAATCCAGGAGTTAAGAGCTCCAGGAGCTGCCTAAAATTAATATGCAACAGGGGCCTAAGAAGATTAAATTTTCCTGTAGGGAAGCTCAACATAGTACTAATGGAATAGCCTTGTTCTTAGGATCAGTTGAGTACTATGATAGGACAACCAGACAGTATAAAGCATCAGTATTTTGGTAACTAGGGTTGCACTGATAGAGATTTTAGGGGCCAATACCAATAGCTGATTTTTAAGGAGGCATATTCAAAGCTGATTCAATTTCCAATACAACTGCATATAGCTGGTAAGTCTGTTGTGGTGAAAGGGGAGTGGAGAGGGAAGGGACCTGGGGGTGCAGATCAAGGCCCCTGTGGTGAGGGAGAGAGTGGAACTCGGGCAGGTGCTAGGGCAGCTAGCTCAGCCAGGGCAGTGCGGGGGCATGGGATGGGGGGCAGCTGCCGCCAATGTGTGCACCCTGATGAGGGTGCGGGGGTGGGCATCTGTCTCCAGAACTGTGCAGGGTGTGGATAAGTCAAGCTGCAGCTGTGGGCTGAGGCCAGGGCTGCACAGATCTCTTCCTGGCAGGGGCTGGGCAGGGCTGCGCTCGGGGCAGGCGGCAGTGCTGGAAGAAGGATTACAGGGCAGGGCTTCAGCCACCCCAAATTTAGCCATAGCCCCCACCCCCAACCCCGCCCCAGCACCACTGTCTCCTGCCCTGAGCACAGCCTGGTCCAGATTCAGATCCTCCCCCCCACGTGCCAGAAAGAACCTCGCACAGCCCCATCCTGCACCCTCCCTCGCCCTGGCTGGGCAGTGCCTACCCCAGCCCCTACCCCAGACACAGCCTCACTCCCCCCCTCACCCTGGGGGGTTGTTAATCTGCTCCCCAACGCCCCTTCCCTCCCCTTCCACCACAACAGACTTACAAACTTCACGCAGCTCTCCAAGCTGCCGGGCTGTTCTCCTCATTGCGTGCATGCTGTGCTGTAGCTGAGCACATGCATGGGCATTTATCGGACAAATTATCAGGCTGATTTCTGATCAATTTTCCTTATATCGGTGCTGATCCAATATCGGACTGATGTATTGGTGCACCTCCATTGTTTACTGCATAATTTTCAATAAAATGGCAACTTACTGTGACCTATTGCAGCTATCAGATTTCTTTCTGTCATGAACACTGTTTAATCTAGTCTTTCCAGCTCAGGAGATGGTTGTCTTATCTGATTTCCATATCTATAACTGACTGTTCATCCACCACAAACTGGATTAAAAGCATTTCTTGTTCTACTTACAGGCAGTGAACAACAGTGCGTCCATCTCTCCCATCATACTGCTCCTGCCATTTCTCCAGCCTCCTAACCACCTTCAGAAGGGAGCGTTTGGAAGGAGGGGTGTCCCTGTATGCTGGCCAGCCAATGTATTGCAAGTGCTGCACTATACGATATCCATCCTGGGGCTAAAACATAAGTTATCCACTTTCATGATGCCATATGAAGCAGAGAGGACAGCAGAGTGACAATGGTTACTGGTTACATATACATTCGTTCTACTGAATTTGGCCTCACAAATATTTATTCACTCTTACTAATCAGCAGGGTATGTTCACAAGCACATGACTAACTAAGGTACAATTGAAAGAAAGGACACTGGAGCTGGATACAAGCTGTTTTTATACAGAAAGCAGAATGTCAGGAGAATTTTGATGATCTCAGGTTTTATAAAGCAGAGGAGGACATGTGACTGCTGAGATCCATATTTTCATCAGGGAGTGAAGCCATAGCTTAGTGGAAGCATATATATTTCTTCCCCTTTGCCTGTTTTGAAGGCTGGCAGTTCCCTATCAGAGGCAAAGCAGGCTTCAAAACATCTGTAGGGCACGAAAGGAAAGAAGCTGGTGAAAGATTCTCATGGGGATTTCACCCATGTCAGGCAGATACCTGTTTAAGTTTGGTAACAACATAACCAAGCTGTCACATAGATTTGGATTTCAGAATCAGACTGATACACAAAACAGGATGGAGGTGTCATTTCTAGAGGCCTGCCAGGATCACCATTTTTAACAGTGAGAGAAATAGTCAGGGCGGTCCTGGGGGGGGGGGCTGCAATTGGGGTGACTGCCCAGGCCCCACGCTTTGGGGGGCCCCACACACAGTGCCGTAAAGGCCATGCCATGGCTGTCACGCACTGCCACTGCCAAGTGCCATCAGCACTGCCACATTTAGCCACTCCTCTCGGCACAGGCTGATATGCCCCAGGCCCCAAACACCCCTGGGGACGGCTCTGTGAATAGGCAATATGGAAAGGGTGTCTAGCTGCATAGAACTCTGCCAAAACAAGAAAATGAGTATTATAGTTGCCCACTACAGCAATGCAGCAACAAGTCATGGTTTCACTGTACAAATACTATGCTCAGCCACTCAGCCAGCAGGCACTGAATCTAAATTTAGATGCCACTCCTCCTGTGATGCCCTGCATAAATGCTTGACAGAGAAGAGATAACAATATCCTAGTCAGTGACTAAAATTGATGATAACTTTATACAGAGTACTACATAACTAAGGTAATTTGCCCTCAGAGATATGTAGGAAATGCTATTCCAGGTATGCGCAGAATTCCAGTTCACGTTATTCACCTCTGATTTCAGTAAATAATTTTCCTGCTCAAGTGCAGTGCAACTAATTCTGGAATGGAATTTTATACTTGGCCTACAGATCTGTCTCCTTGGACCACATACCTCATATCCCTCTAATGGGTTCTCTCTCAAATGAGCCACCACATGTAGTTTACAGAACAGGAGTGAAGGATGAATAAATGGGGCACCTGAGGCTTAACTGATCTTACCCTGGCCATGTTGCAGATCCGGAATATCCTGTTGATGATATCCTCATCAATGTCTGCTGAAACAAACTCCACTTGGATTGGCCCATAACAACAGGATGTTTTCTCTGGCCAATACTGCATGCAGAGCTAGTGAATGTATAACAGAAATAGAAAGCAAGTCAAATGAAGACTAGGAAATGTACTGTTAATCCTTTATCTCCAACTCACATCTACTTGGAGAACCATAATCTGCTCCCTGTATAATATAGGACATTTATTCAGAAGGAACTCCTTCTGCTACAATTTAAGTTTTCTGTGATGTAAGCATGAATGAAAAAGTTTAATTTCTTGAAAATCCACCTGTTTTAGTACAATTGATAACAGATGGAATTTTGGGGTCCAAAGGTCAACTAACATTGATTGCTAGGTGGGTACTTCTGCAGGGGTACAGATTTAAAAATAAAAAAGTCTGTAGGTGAATTTAGTATGAAGCGTGGAAGTTTTGTGTTGCAAATTAATGAGAAAATAGTGTAAATACCAACAGAATTCATCATAATGCAAGCCAAGTGGAACTTTATTTTCATGTGTTGCCATCTTTTCTTCATTTGAATTGTAGCAGCAAATAGAGATGGACAGATCAGATTGCTTAAAAAAAAGTGGATTTCAAACTTCAAAGGGAATCACAACTGAAATATTGTGGCTGGTTTGCTTTATTTGGGTTTTTTGTTGTTGCTTTTCTGTAAACTTAGAAAAAAAGCACATGCTGGTTTTGGCTGAATTAATAAGCACTAAAATACTGCAAGGTAAACTAGAATCAGAGTTGGTTCAACCTGGTTAGATACAGGTGGTACCAAAATCATGGATGAAATCTCATTAAAAGATGTTTTATGTTAAGATTTAAAGGTTGGAAAGTTTCAAAAAGCTAGTGATTCGTATTAGTACCTTTGGAGGTTCCTCTGGACTAGAATTTAAGACCTGTCCAGGTTTTATTATTGTTACCAAGCATCTTGAGGATGTACAAGTGAGTTGCATCATGTTTGTTTGAACTCTCAATATATCTTTGTACATAAGGGCTAGAAACTGGTTGGGAAGTAATTGTACACTACATCTTCATGCTTGTATTTTTGTGGGGGAGGGGGCAGAAGTAAGCCAGTATGTTCACAAGCCTCCATTCTTTGGTTTAATTCACCACCCATACATTCAGGTAAGCTCAGAGATCCTTTCATTTATTTCAGAGAAAGATTTTTTTCTAGAGTAATGCTCTAAGGGAAAAATATATATGTATACAGAGCCCAACTGAGATGAAAGAAAAAGAGTAAATCCTACTGCAAAATTAAAATAATGATTTTCATACAGGCCTTAGAGATCCATACACACACAATTTTATTTTTGCATGGAACTGCTGCATTTGTGTTTTCAGGTGGGTCACATGTGCCCATCCTGGGTAAAATACTGTATTCATGAACTATTTCGGTGAAATTAAGGCATGAACTATTTCGGTGAAATTAAGGCAAAGTACGCATACAAAATACACATGTAAAACTGCACAGAACTACAAACCACTTTGTGAAAATCAGGTCTATATTGCTTTCCAGTTTAAAATTAAGTCAGTATATATTTGAGTAACAACAACGTCTCCTTTAGTATATGGATATCCTGTTTTCTGGGTTTTATATAGTGGCTGTTAGAGCGGTAACTCATTGGGAATTCTGTGTTGCCAACCTGACTAGCAAAGAATGTGCCTCCATCCTGCATTAATGGATTTAGTATCACTGATGTTTCTGCAGAATGTAATACTGTCATCATGTCACACACTGGTCTCGATAATTGAAGTTTTAAAACTGGCAGGCTGTCTTCTAATTTGGTAATTATCATGGGGTATAAATTGTGTTGATCTGATAAAGCTGTATGGCTATGTAACTAGGATGGTGCTGTATAATGCTAATTTGCTGAAAACACATCATGAGACAGAAAAATTCACTCTCTAGAGTAAGAGTATATTCATCACAGATTATATAAAATTCAGGGAATATATACTTTTATAACAATCCTTGGGCTAACGGACTGACATAATTAACAATTTAGAGTTAGCAATGTGCCTTGCCAAATCTCCTTTTCTTCTAGTTAAGCATCTCTGTTGAAAAAACAAAAGAACTAAATGGTAGGGAAGACAACTAAATGGTAGGGAAAAAAGCAGAGCAAAAAGGGGTGGTATAGGTAGAGGGTGGCCAAGAAAAATACAGAATCTGTAATGATGGAGGATTTCATTTTTTCCAGAGACCGAATATGAAATAGCTAAGGCAGCTTATATTTCCAGAGAATGTGCAGCATTTTTTACTTAACAGTCTTTTTTGGGCAATGAACAAGATTAAAAGTCACTTTGGATTAAATCCCAGGAAATAAAAGGAGACTGGATGAACCAGATAGAAGATAACAAGCCCTCAGGAATCAGAGATCTCAGGAAAATTGGATTTGAGACTTCAGAGACTCAGGACTCAGTCACCCTAAGTGCTTGGACTTTAGAAAGGCTGAACTAAGGACCACCTTAATGCAGAACAGATTCAAATTCACCCTGTTTGGAAAATCCCTCTGATAAGCGCATGATGGTTTTTTCCACTAACACAAGTGAAAGGAGTTGCACACCTGCTGCCTTCAAGAGGGGACAGATAGCAAGAAGCAAATGAAGGATTAAGCCAGAAAACACCCAGCGAACGATGGTTCATCTTCTGCCGTCCAACAAGAACTACAACATGTGAAGTTACAGTGCCAAAACAGGAAATTTGAGAATGCATGTATAATAAACCTTTTTATTGAAAAGCTGGTTAATGTATCTTCAGATGCACTGAAAGTTTCAGTGTGCTTCTCACCCCTAGTACTGAAAATAATTTTAGAATAGCCGGTCAAGAAAGCAATTTATAGGAGGGGAAAAAAAAGAGGTAGCAAAAGTTTTTCAATGATTTCCCCTTTTGCCTCTTGTCTTTTTGCTCATTTGAGAAGTATATTAAATCAGTTTCTCATCAGGAGTGGCTGTTGTTATTAGGAATTTGGTGTTTAACCTTGGTTAATGTACCCATAACAGCTAGTGCTTCTTCAGAATCGTATCTGGATTATTTAAATCTATCAAGTTTGCAAAATTAGATTGGTAATCTAAGGAGAAAAGGCTCTGTTATGTGACTGTAAATATGTCTTGCTTCTGATCTTTTGGAAATACCATGAGAACAGGTTTGTTTTGTTGACAGAGTTATAGTATTTCTGTTCGTGTCTCAGCTGAAAAATGACAGTCAAAAATGAAAAACAACAGTGGGAAGTAGTGAATCAGGCTTTTTGGAACCACAAAAAATTAATCAGTTTGAGATCTGGGCAGAGATTTAGGATCAAATCCACAAAGGTATTAAGGCACCTAATACCCACTGATTGATTACATTCTGAATTGTTGGCCTATTCCAACCTGTTTCCTTTTTGTCACAACTTTTTTGCTGGGCATAAGCAAGACAGCAAATTAATGAAATTCCTTTATGTCTGTGAATAAGACTACTTGATAGAGCTATTAAAAATCCACCTACCTGCGCAGCATCCATTTCATTCAGCATCACTACGGAGGAACAGTTGTAATCAAACACCAGCCTCCAGAAGTCTGCTATGGTATTTGGTAAAGGGTGCTGGGTTACAATAAAGGCAGCAGGTTGCTTGTGGCTCTAACAAAAGAATAAGATTAGTTTAAAAAAAAATCAATCACCTTTTATTCAGATGAATATTAAACGCGGGAGGCTAAAACTAGGCAATCTGAGCCATTTAACCAGATTATACAAATTCACACATCCTCTTCCTTGTTATTGCTGTGTGCTGAATGAAGCTTTCATAATGGGATACTTTTGCTCCCAATGAAGACATTTCATTACAGATGTGTCACAAAAACAGAGATTATTCATATAAACTATTTATGTTTTGGGAGTCAGCAAATAATAATAATTAGTAAGAAAACTGACTGTTATTCTTTTTTGCTACAGTAGACTCTAGAGGCCAGGAGAGGAGCTAACCCTCTCTGATTTTTTTCTCTGGGAGCAGAGAACAGAAAAGCTGGCACACTTTGATGTGAAACCATGCTTTAAGGGAAACATTGCGGGATAGTATTCAGAGTACAGGGTTACAGAGTTCTAGTCCGGACTCTTCTCTGTGATTTTGGATAAAGCCACAGCTCCTTCCAGATTCCTTATGTTCCACAGAACCATAATCCCTACCTCTTTAGGATATTGGAAGGTTTAACATTTGCAAAGCACTTTGAGCTCACAGGATAATAGCTTATTACAAATGCATTCTTTCTTTTTGTGTATGGCAGACATAGGTATGCCCCTTTCTGATGTACAATTCTGGACACTGGACATCCATGGGAGAGGACAAGAATCAAGATAAGCAATAATTCTTGAAAAGTACAAATTAAGATTTTGATTAAAGAAAAAATACTGAAGCCGTAGCATGACTGAGACATAGGGGGACACAATTTTATCTTCATGTGAATGCTGTGGGTAGGAGAGCTTGGCATGCTTTATTTTGTGAGTGGGAGTTTTATAGTGCGCCATATCCAGTCTCCTGGCTAATACTTTTGAGGGCTGGCTGAATCATAGCTCCACCAAATGTGTACATGTGGAGGTGGGTGGTAGGGCAGGTGGTAGAGAGAAGGAAAAAGGTAGCTGAGTTTTCATGAGATGACAGATTAAGGGGTGGATGAGGCAACCTCTGGGGTAAGTAAAAAAAAAAAAAAATGAGCAGCACTGAACCCAAGCGGCCCCAAATTCCACGAGGTAAAGTAGGCAGCCAGGCTTTACAACACACTGAAAGAAACAGCAACAAATAAAGGCAAGATAGGGTGGAGTGGCTATAGGCTACACACACTCTTCTAAACTGAAAATAGTAGGCATGTGAAGGAAAGAAAGGGGGCTGGTAGATGTTCACTTACAACAATATGAAATCTAATCCTTCATCCCAATGATCATGCCTCCCAGCATGAGGTGTAACGGTTGAGATTGGGATTCAAATCCCAATTATGTCACTGTCTGCTGGATTTGGGTGGGGAGGGGGAAGTTGATTGAGTCCACCTGCCTGGCAGCAGCAAATCCAGAGGTTCCTTGGTGTGACCCTGGGATAGGGAAGCCTCTCCCTGATCCTAGGGTCTCAATGGACAACCGAAAATTGTGTGCCCAGCTTGGCTGCACATGTGGTTTTTACAGCCCCCATTGCAGAGGAACCCTGGGATCAGGGAGCCTCCCCCCAGTATTGGGGTACCCATGGTTAAGATGCATAATTGCCTTGCCTTTAAAGTACAAGGTATTTTAAAGTGCCTTGCTCCACAGCTCCCGGGAGCTGCAGGGGAAGGTAGTCAACATGCAAGGCTGCGGAAAGCCTCTAAACTGATCTGCCATTTTAAAGTACTTTGTCCCACACCCCCTACAGGGTCTGCAGGACAAGGCAGAAAAGGCTCTCTGGCATTGGGACTGATAAGTTCCTGGTGGGGGGATCTTCTTGGCCCCACTCCCCTCACCCTCCAAGCTTTGGAACCCACTTCCCTAGCAGTCCATTTCTGGCAATGGTACTGGAGCTGTCCCAGTCCTGATGCCAAACTCTTTCCCAGCACAGTGCTGTGATACCCAAAAGCTTGCCTACATCTATCCCAACAAAGCAACTGGTTTAATAAGATATATCACCCACAAGAATTCTTAAGACAAAAGTATCTTTTAGAAGCCAACAACACATTTTTGCACGCATGTGAACAGTGTATAATTAGCATGGCACTGCTGTAGTTTAGAGATGTCAGCCAAAGCAAACCCTTCTTCATTTGACCCATTTTTCAACCCTGGAAAGGAACAGGAACTAACAACCTTGACCCACAGTAGGACTCCCAGTCCTACTAGCATGGAGTCTGTGTTTTACTTACATCCATGAGTGCAGCATTGATGTAGTTGCTTGATTCACCATCCACAGAGATGAGGAAGGGGAGGCACCGGTCCAAGGGCAGCACATCCATGCAGCGATTCTTGTCATGGTTCCTTGGCAAGAGACCAATACTGCAATCTTCTGGCCGAACACGTGGTGTCACAATATTGAGGGTCTGTATGTGCAGAAGAGAGAGATGTAAGTAAAATACCTTAGAGCTTACCTTCAAGAAGTGGATCTTTAAATACAAAATATACATATTTAGCACACTTCGCAACCTGCTCTTTCTGTTCTGGAAAAAAAAGGAATGGCCCATACAGATGGGCCTTTGAAGCTTCACAAACATGGCAGTGTTGATTTGGGACTTTGTTTTGGCCCTTTTTAAAGGTAGGGAGAAGCCCCCCAGTTAAGTTTGGTTGTGCATCCAAACTGCCCGAAAGCTTAGGGTTGTTCAAAATGAGGATTTTGCTTTGAACCCATCTCTGATGTTGAAACAGATAGTTCAGTATAAAAGAAAAAAAAGTACCCCTTGAATAACTTTTCCTATAGGTATTTAGAGCTCTTCCTTGCTGTCAGATGAAATCAGACATCTATTGCATACTCTTTTGTTATTGTATGCAACAAACAATAACAACAAACTAGTAGACGCAGTGCTAGACAAGGTCAAACTGTAAGTTGATTGGAGGCTTTCCATTTACTTCAATGCAAGTTGTTTGAGGTTCAGGCTTATTATAGGTGTTGCAATAGTGCTGTATTGAATAAAATGTAGTTAATACTTTTCCCCCTTTTTTCAAGTTGTTTGTAAAGTACTCTGGGATCACTTAGAACGAAAAAAAGCATTGGACAGCACAGATATAGCTTGCAGCTCTTTTAACACCCTGCATTCTGCAAGTCACCAGCAAACATCATTAAGGTTCAGTTTAAACTCAACATTTTGCAGGATCATGCCTTATCTTTTGGTATCACATCTATGAAACCTATGATGATTTCATCTGTCAAATCTCTGCCTCTGCCCACACACAATCAAAGGTTCACTTCTAATATACCAGAAAAGTTTAATATTCTTCTCCCATTTAGATTGAAGATGGGTGTCAAAGCCACAGCAATTGCCATATTTTTTTACCCAGTTTCTGAGTCTACACCCAGAGATATCAGGTTTCACATTCCTTTACACCTCCCCGGGGTAGAAGAATATATTTAGCATTCAGACAAAACCCTGGGCTTCAGTTTTGTATGTACTGATCTTGTCTGGGTTCCATTCCTGTGGATATTCTCAAATCACATAACTGTATCTTAGAAACATAACATGAGAGAGAGAGATAATTTTAAATTAGCATAAAGTTTATGCACACAAATCTTATTTTGGGTCCTGCCAGCCTTTGGTAGAGACCATAAGCAGGCCTCACTTTACAAGTCACTACTAACCCCTGGGATATTGGTCTCAGCTTTTTATCCTTAACTGGCCCTGATCCTGCTTGAGGGACAGCATTATTTTAAATCAGAGAATCATAGAAAATTAGGGTTGGAAGGGACCTCAGGAGGTCATCTAGTCCAACCCCCTGCTCAAAGCAGGACCATCCCCAATTAGATCATCCCAGCCAAGGTCTTAAAAACCTGTTCCAGTGTTTTACTAGTAAGAAAATTTACTACTGAGAAAATTCTTCCTAATATCTAATCTAAACTTGACTTGCTGCAACTTAAGACCACTGCTCCTTGTTCTGTCATCTGCCACCACTGAGAACCATTTAGCTCCATCCTCTTTCAACCCCACTTCAGATAGTTGAAGGCTATTAAATCCCCTCTCAGTCTTCTATTCTCTAGACTAAGTCCAGTTTCCTCAGCCTCTTCTCAGAAGTCATGTGCCCCAGCCCCCAAACCATTTCTGTTGCCCTCCGTTGGACTCTCTTCAATTTGTTCATGTCCTTTCTGTAATGGGGAGCCCCAAAACTGAACACAGTACTCCAGATGTGGCTTCACCAGTGCTAAATAGAGGGGAATAATCACTTCCCTCGATTGGCTCGCAGCATTCCTACCAGTGCAGCCCAGTTTGTTGTTAGCCTTTTTGGCAACAATGGCACACTGTTGGCTCATATTCAACTTATTGTTCACTTTAACCCCTACATCCTTTTCTGCAGAGCTGCTGCCCAGCCAGTGAGCCATCACCCTGTTCTGGTGCATGGGATTGTTCTGACTTGAGTGCAGGACTTTGCACTTGTCCTTGTTGAACCTCATGAGATTCCTTTTGGCTTGGCCCAATCCTCCAATCTGTCTAGGTCACTTTGAATCCTAGCCCTACCTTCCAGTGTATCTACTACTCCACACAGGTTGGTGTCATCTGCAAACTTGCTGAGGTTGCACTCTATACCATCTTCCAGGTCATTGATGAAGATACTAAACAAAAGTGGCCCCAAGACCAACTCCTTAGGCACTCTACTTGACACTGGCTGCTAACTAGACATCGAGCCCTCTGAGCCCAATGCTTCAGCCAAGTTTTCTATCCACTTCACAGTCCATTTATCCAGCCTGTACTTCCTTAGTTTGCCTGTGAGAATGTTGTGGGAGACCGTATCAAAAGCCTTGCTAAAATCAAGGTACTATACATCCACTGGTCTCCCTGCATCCAGAGCCACTCATCGAGGGCTGGACCAATGATAGGTAAAGTGCTGCTCGACCTGGTACTGTCAACCGGGGGTGACTTAATCAGCAACTTAATGATCGAAGGGAAGCTGGGTTACAGCGACCATGAGCTGATCACCTTCACCATCCACCATAAAGCTGGCAAGTCAGTCAGCAATACAGAAGTCCTCAACTTCAGGAAAGCTGACTTTGACAAGCTCAGGAGGCTTGTCGGTGAGGCCCTAAGGGACCACGACCCCAGGAGGAGGGGAGTTCAGGAAGAGTGGTTGCTCCTCAAGGGAGTGATCCTAGATACACAAGCTAACGCTATTCCATCTTGGAGGAAAGGCAGTAAAAGGGCACAGCAGCCCCCTTAGCTCAGCAAGGAACTAGCAGACCTCCTGAATCTAAAAAGAAAGACCTACAAAGGATGGAGGATGAGATCCACCTCCAAGGAGGAATATTTCACACTGGTCCGGACCTGCAGGGAGCGAACCAGGAAAGACAAGGTTGTGGTGGAACTCCAACTGGCTACTAGTATCAAGGATAATAAAAAGTCCTTTTTTACATATGTGAGGAGTCACAGGAAAAGCAGGGGCAACATTGGACCCCTGCTAAACCAGATGGGACAACTGACGACTGATGCACAGGAAACACCCAACCTACTAAATGGGTACTTAGCGTCAGTTTTCCACCAGTCCCATGGGACGCCTCTGCCCATCACAGAACAGGGAGGCCTGAGTGAGGGAGATTTCTTGCCCTCCATCAGTGCTGACCTCGTGAAGGAACACCTTGAGAGGC